CACGTTAGATACTGTATACATGTAGTTTTTCATCAGAAGGATAAGTAGTTTACTGACCGATCGCATATCGTCGCATCTGGCGCATGCGTACATCGTATCTTGGCCCGGACGCAGTTCTCACAGGTCTTGACTCTTTCTGTTCCAGTTTCCCCAACCATACTGAAGAAGATAGGGCTTAGTAACTATGTGATCTAACTGATCTTGTAGAAACGGACACGGACTGGAGGTCAAACACGGACGGTAGTACACTTAAGAAGGGTCAGTCCGTCGGACACGGACACCATATCTGTCTGGCTTATCCGGCGGGCCAAAATTGACATCCGACTCCGTGTCTGCTAAGCCAATCATGTGAATCAGGGAGCCTAATTTGGGGCCGCCAAGATCTCAGACTGAGGATTCTCATGTCGATAATCGCTGTCAGCGTGCGTAATCTTGGACTAAACAAAGTAAAATGAGGATTTTGCATAGCCATATCTGCTAAAATAGATCAGGCATTCGGGTTTCAGGAGAGATGTTAGCCATATAAGATTGAGAATAGCCTCGAACATGTAAATTTGAAGTATACAGATTGATATCAATATCACGATCAATTTCAATATCCTTAATACATTATGTCTTCGACTGACGATTGTACCTTGTCAACATGTCCACTCAGCATGGCATATATCGATTACCTGCCTAATCTTCCCGCAAATGTGTTTTTCGTGGCCTTTTTCGGCCTCATAACCGTCCTTCAGTTTGGTTTAGGAGTATGGTATCGAACATGGACGTATATGATTGCCATGCTGCCGGGTCTTATTCTCGAGGTTCTGGGATACGTCGGGCGGATCATGCTACATGATAATCCTTTTGACTTTAACAACTTCCTTCTGTGAGTGGTTGCATATGTTTCATGCCTCAATCATGAGCCTCAACTGATCAACATCCAAATCTAAAGGTACCTTATTTGTTTGACTCTTGGACCCGCATTCTTCAGTGCCGCCATCTACATCTGCCTGGGGAAAATAGTTGTTATCTACGGAGAGGGCATTTCTCGATTCCGACCCCGAACATACACAAGGCTCTTCGTCTCCTGTGACCTGCTATCCTTGATTCTCCAAGCAGTCGGTGGTGCCCTCGCTTCCTCCGCTGGTGACGGCGACACAAGCGAAAGTGATACTGGTGTCAACATCATGATTGCGGGATTGGCTTTCCAGGTCTTTTCCCTACTCGTGTTCATGGTCCTTGCTAGCGAATTCGCTTTCCGGGTCCGCAAATGCCCCAAGTCAGAGAATGATGACTTTACTAGCCTTCGCATGAGCCCGAAATGGAAGATGTTCCTTTACTGTATGTTGGCCTTTGTCTGGTTCAATTGTACGTATGCTAATCACATGTGCATCTATCAGGTCTCGCTCTTGCCACTATTACTATCTTTATTCGATCGGTCTTCCGTGTTGCGGAGTTGCAGGGTGGATTTTCCAGTGCCCTGGCCAATAATGAAACCGACTTGATGGTGTTGGAAAGTACCATGATCTCGATTGCGTGCATTTGTTTAACGGTGGCTCATCCAGCTATTATTGTCGGTCGCACTTGGGGTTCTCTTTAAGGGATTTTGATTGTTTTTACACATTGAGCTTTAGATCTAGACTCCTTCTAAGACGTGGAATGAAAGATCATAAACTTACGCACTTCACTGATGCTGTCTTTGGAGAGATTACAGAGGATAAGCCCAACTATGGTGGGGTATGAAAAGAAAAGCCTTCAAAATCTTGTTCCCATGTACACTGCTAATATAGACAACCATTCGATGTCTTAGCGGGATTGATCTGGGACCTCTGTGTTGTATGCATCATAAAATATAAGTCTCACGCGAGCTGTGAAAAAATGATAGTGGTACGTTTCTAAAGTTGCCATTCAGTATTCAGCAAATTTCTCAGTTTGTTGGGCAACATATATCCGAAATAATAGTTCTCTAATTCCAGTGTTGAATTTAGCATCAATTTCAGAAAGACCCGCAGCAAACTGATAGTGTTAGTAACTACGTCTCAATCATCTTTAGATATGAACCAATATTACATTTAGCTGGCTGTAAATCAGTTTGGACTTATCACGTGCCCAGTATGAATGTGGGGTTTATTCTTTCTCCGCAACTCCGCAACTCCGCTCCTTCTACTCCGGACAACCGTTGAGAACCATCCCTCGTGTCTGAGTATGCTCGAGGCACCATGGAGAGTCGACCTGAGATGAAGCGCGCCTCGGACTCAGAGGCAGATCCACCACGTACGCGTCCTTGTCCTGCCTGCAACAAGACTTTTTCAAAAGCCGAACATCTCACCCGGCATCTCCGCAGCCACACTAAAGAGAGGCCGTATGTGTGTACTACCTGCGGGAAGGTGTACTCCAGAAGGTATGAACACTGAACCTAAGCTACTGCCATGTGCACTGACAATTGCTAGCGATGTGCTGCGGAGACATCTCAAGAGCCACGAGAAGCACTCTCAAAAGGCTTCACCGCAGCCCCGAGCTTCGATTTCAGGGACCCCATCCCGATCAGTGGCGGAAGAGTCGACGATGATCTCTACCCCATCTCATGCGGCACCAAGGATACATGAGCTACTCAATGATTCTTCATTAATAGTACCAGCCGTACCTGACCAACTAATTAGCAGTACCGAGCCATTACAACCCCAATCAGCGACAGGGATGAATTTGCATGACTCCGTACTACAGACAGATACCGATTCTTGGTTCCTTGGCGCAGACTTTGATGTAAATGCCTTGGACTTTTCCATATCATCGGCGATATCGGAATGGGCGCAACTGCGTTCCACACCACACATGTTAGGCTCTGTTGGCTTAGCAGAAGAGCCGCTGCATTCCGCACCAACGTCCTACGCAAAGGGGAACGGCGATGAATCGCATCCAGCGGACATTGTAAGGAAGAGATGGTTTACTTGCTTATCTCCGCCAGAGGTAAACCAGTTCGTCTACAGAGGGCTCAATCGCCCCGGTGACTCGTTCCCTCAAGGGAGGATCGATGCCGATGACAACTATAGAGCTGGTCTCTCCCAGAGGTTGAAGCCTCGCATGCATGATGAAGCACTGCCATCCGCAGAGCAACTGAATCTCTTTGCGAAGCTCTTCTTTAGTCGATTTCACTCCCTGTTTCCGGTTATACATGCACCCACCTTTCGTCCGACCGCGGAAAATTCGTTGCTATTCTTATCAATCTGCTCAATAGGCAGCCTCTTTGTGGGGTCATCCCATGCAGTGGCGCAAGGCCTGAGGATATTTGAACGACTGAATAAAGCAATTCTGGCCTCCTGGGAGTCCATTCTTGCTCATAGCCGACCGGATGCCTTGTCGATGGTCCAAGCTGCCATTCTGGGCCAGACTTATGGAATTCTGTCCGGAAGGCCCAAGGACTTGGTCCTTGCGGATGTCCTTCATGGTACTGTAATGGGATGGACACGTGAGTCCAATAAATACGCTACTCTTGGCCATGGACAGTTCCTCGATACTTGTGCGACCGAACAAGAGTTGATCGAGCAGTGGCACCGATGGGCCGAGGCGGAACAGAGAAGACGGGTCGAAATCGCCTTAAACATACACGATGCGGAGCTTGCCAGCCTGATGCATCATGAGCCTATTCGCAAGCATCGATTCGCACAATATCCGCTGCTAGTCTCTGAATCAATGTTCATGGCCCCGACAGCCGCCCGATGGGCCAATATATACAAAGAGTCACCATCATTTACTAAATTAAGCCCCACTCCCGACCTTCACTTTCACTCCGCCGGGAATGATTCCAGGTTCGCTGTCTACAGTGTGCTGGAGAGTATTAACGCCCATGTCATTGAGGCTCGCCTCTCAGGGACCTTAAATAGAGGTACATCTCAGGATCTATCTAGCCTACTGATGCATTGGTGGAGTAAATATAGCTCACAATACATTCAAGATGAGGAAGAGGACCCTTTCAGTCTTCCTGTGTTGTGGCACTCTATTTACATGTCTCTGTACAGCGACATGGACGTGCTTGAACGAGCAGTTGGTCGTAATGGGCATGTAGCTGCCACTGAATCTCACCACGCGGTTCAAGGGTGGGCAGGCTCCCTGGATGCCAGTAAGTGCCTGGTTCATGCGCTGTTGATACAGCGTTACCTCGAAAGGATGCGAATCTCCTCTGAACCCGCAATACATGTGCCCGGAGCTCTCTTTTCGGCTGCTCTCGCATGGCTCTGCTTCACGAGAATTGGACAGCAGCAATCCATCAACTTGAAAGCTTTCGATGCCCCAGAAATCCAGCTCCTGGGCAGTGAGACCGCGTTGCAAGAGGCCCAAGGGCAGGCATTCGGAGACTCTGCATTTGCAGATGTAAATCACTTACATCGACTGATTGATCTTTTGCACCGCTTTGGGCGCTGGACGATCTCGAAAACATTTGCCACCGTACTATGCACGGCTCTGGAAGAAGTTAGAGAAGAATGACGTTCTTTGATTACGGATCCTATAGCAATACATTTATGCACGACCACTGGAGACAGCAAGTATCAATAAAGATGTGGCGGCAAAGAAAGCAAATCTGGTTCATGCCGAGGTCATTAGTGCAGGCTCCCCGCCGAAATGTGGGATGCGTTGCGGGGTGGCGGGGTGACCCCGTGGATCGACACACCGAAGGGGTTTGCAGACTGCTGACATGAGGATTATGAGAGCACTTACGAGATGGCCTGCATATTAATCCCATTCGATTTGACGCACTACACAATGGTTCCGCCAATGGTACTATTGATTATGGCATAACCGGTATGATAACTAGAAACCCCATACGTGCGCAGCAATGCAGGTGGACCTGGCTCACTCGAGTCGCCCATCGCTCGCTGTGTACCTTCTTCCCGCCTGTGGGGTATTGATGTGTGGGGTTTCTCCAGACAATGCCGCATTCAACAACCGAGTGAATATTCTCCCATGAGAGAATGTATATAGATCTACAAGCCTGCCGGATATAGTGTTTCAAGAGAGTTGATCCAATCAAGCAGACATCGAAATGCCGGTATTTACAGAATTCGCATCCAAGTCGCGGGACCTGCGTGTCCTTCCTTCCTTTGCTCTTCCATTACCTCGACTTACTCCGCCGTTCGAACCCACCGTAAACGATGGAGTCGAACGTTACGAGGTTGTCATCGTTGGGGTAAGTCCCATCAAACAACGGATGTTGCCACTCAACATACACGAGCGAGAGTTGATAACATCATGCAGGCTGGACCCTCGGGACTGATGCTGGAACTTCTGCTGGCCAGATACGGCTTGAGTGACGAATCTCTCCTTTGTATTGACTCGAAGCCAAGCACGTTGAAATCAGGACAGGCAGATGGTGTTCAACCTCGGACGTTGGAAGTATTTAAAACCTTGGGGATTTCCGACGAGATTGAGAACGAAGCATGTCAAATGTGGCAGTTTGCCTTTTGGAATACCTCATCAGACCCATCCCGAATCATTGAGCGGAAATCCGTGGTCCCCGAAGTGATACCCCCCGCTCGGTTTCGCTACGAGGCCACTATACATCAGGGACGCATTGAACGGATTATGGAGACTGACCTCCTGCGGTACTCCAAAAGAGGCGTGCAAAGGGACACCAAGTTGATCCATGTCCAGCTGAATGAAGATGACAAGGAGTTTCCTGTCCTGGCGGAGATTGAGACACGCGGGGTAAGAAGATTCATCCGCACAAAACACCTCATTGGAGCAGACGGAGCACACTCGATGGTACGTCAGTGTGTGGGACTAAAGCTGGAGGGTCAATCGCTCGACCATATATGGGGCGTTATAGATTTGGTAGTGGATACGAATTTCCCTGACATTCGCCGGCGATGTGCTATCCATTCCCCAGCTGGCTCGGTGATGGTCATACCACGAGAACGAATCGTGACGGGTGAGTATCTTACGCGACTTTATGTCCAGGTACCTGGAATGGCAAACCCCGATGGAGATATAGTGGGAGCGGCTACCCCAGTTTCCGAATTCGATGATGCTAGGGCACGCAGACAGAAGGTGACGAAGGAGGGAATTCTGAAGCAAGCAGCAGATGCATTCAAGCCATATTACCTCAGGCCGAAAAGCGAGGAATCAATCGACTGGTGGGCAGCGTATCAGATTGGGCAGCGGGTCTCACCAGAATTCATTGTCAAGGACTCTACTGGAGTTCCTAGAGTATTCATTGTGGGAGATGGTACGTGCACTCTTCACTGAGGACTAGAATCACCTGCTGACGATCATAGCTTGCCATACTCATAGTCCAAAGGTACTATCTCCGAACTTTTTGTGAGACGCAGCTAATTGTTGTCTAGGCCGGCCAAGGAATGAATGTGTCCATGATGGATTCCTATAACCTGGCCTGGAAGCTGGCCTACCACATTCACGGACTCAGCCCTTCGTCTACCGAGCCCGACCAGCCACATCCCCTCCTCGACACTTATCATCTGGAACGGCATGCGAACGCGCAGCAGCTGATTGATTTTGATCGCAAGTTCTCTACCATCTTCTCGGGTCAACTGGACACGGAGGAGTCAGGGATGTCGCACGCGGAATTTGTGGCCACATTCAACACCGGCAACGGCTTCACCAGCGGCTGCGGGGTGGAATACGGAGAGAGTATGATCGTTGACCGAACGGCATCGGCGGGACAGGATAGCCCCATCCGGGGCGACGACTACTTATCAGGAATACCGCGACCGGGCAGACGATTGCTGAACGTGAAGTTGAGGCGTCATGCGGATGGATGGCACCGGGATATTCAGGACGGTTGGTATCATCATCCCTCCACCCCTTGCATATGCTAATCATGGCCACACGTTTAGACCTGGCATCCACGGGCCGGATCCGCGTTCTAACGCTCACGTCTAATGATCTTCTGAACGCCCAAAGTGTGTCTGCTCGATCATTGCAGGATGTGTCTGCCTTGCTGGGTACTTTCCCAGCGGGGATTATCGAGCAGATAGTGGTGCACCCGCAGCTCCCGAGAGAGTTTGAATGGGACAGCCTTCCGGGGTGCGTGAAAGAACATGCGGAGATGCGCTTCTACAATGGAAGCGAGCTGGAGGATGCATATGAAATCTACGGGGTGGACCCTCATCAGGGAGCCATGGTGGTTGTCCGGCCCGACGGGTACGTTGGGATAGTTGTAGCGCTCGGGGAGGTGGATCGCGTGGGAGAGTACCTGCGTCGCTGCATCAGAACGAGGTAGAGATGGTTGATTACCACCATGTACATATTACCAGTCCAATGAGAGTATAGTTCGTCGAGCTGCAGTGGTCACGGTCCCTCGCCAGTTCAGCCCTGTTTTCCGAGATGTTCCGGGGGAACTATGATTGTCGGAATGCATGCATGGCTGATGATGGAAGGATGGGCAGCCGAGAGATCCGCCTGAGCCACAACATTCCGGGCGGGGTGGGGGCATCACGTGTCTCTTTGTTGGATTCGTGCCTCCTCCCAAATGTCTACTATGATGTTATTAAGTTAGAACATCCTACTTACTCAGGAGGTATTAGCCTGGGCTTGACCGCCACAAAGTGAAACCCCTACTCCATCACACTAGTTAGACTTAGTTGAAGACACTTGGCAGGACTGCACAGCCACATCAACGGCACAATTCGAGCCAAATGATTCCCCACTTCTAAGCCGGGCCAGTCTGCATCCCCGAATCAAACTAGACTGAACTGACTTGACTAGTTTAACTTATGAGTTGGGATCGAGATCATCGTGGAAATGCAATGGAGGGGTTGCCCTATGTCTAGTGACCCCCGGCAAAAGCAACAACCAGGGAAGTCCATCAGTCATTGGAATCCCCGATCGGGATTATTCATTAAAAATAATAATAATAATTGCAGCCTAAATGTGGATTCCCTGGAGCACACAGCTGGAGTGAGAATGAATGACTGACTGACTGACTGACTGACTTGAGACTTTCTTGGAGGGGCGGGGCTCGTCGTCAGTCCCGTCAGCCGCGCCCTCCATTATCCATCTTTCTCTTCTGTCTTTCTGTCTCCACTGGGCTGATCCCCTCCTCTTCCTTCTTCCCTCTCTTCTCCCCTCCCCACTATTTCTACTACTAATAGCTCCTGTTTCGCCCCTGGGTAGTTTGCTAGTTTACCACCTCCAAACTAATCCTCTGCGAGGATTCTCTGTTATACTACCTCTATCTTAAACCTCTTCTTTTTCTCACCATTTTGTTTTTGTGTCCCACGGTATCATGACCCGCCCCGAGGACGACCTGGCCTATGGCCAGTACTACCAGGACTCCGCCCGGGGAGCCTCTTCCGGAGACTCTTCCAGGGGTCTGAGTGACACTTTCAAGAAGCTCAAGCAGACCTACAAGTCTCACCAGTCGCAACAGGGCTCTTCCCAGCAGACTCAGCAGTCGCAGCAATCCCAGTCCGCCAGCTACTACAATGTATGTGAAAGTTGTTGCCTGTACCTGGTCAACCTTGCCCGATCCCCGGTACTAACCGCCCCGTTCCTTTTCTCAGACTTCGAACCAGACCTACCAGACCCAAGGTCCCTCGCAGTCCCAGCCACACCCTCCCCCTCAGCAGCAACAACAACCCCATCCGTCGAAACCCCAGAAGCAGGACAAATTCTCCGGCTTGTTTGGCAAGCTCGAGGAATTCGGCAATGAGGTGGCACAGAAACTGGGTACCGCCCTCGACCCCCAGGCCTATGCCGAGTATGGCGCACCAAAGCCGCAGACCGAGAACCGCTTCGGGAGCTTTGCATCCCCGCGTCAGGGTAACGAGGTCAAGTGGCACGTCGACGGTTGTGCCTACTTCTATGCGGTGTCCAAGGCATTGGAGAGTGCCAAGGAGTATATCTGGATTTTGGACTGTAGGTATCCCAGGCATTGCTGTGTTGGAGGGTATGAGGCTAACAAGGCATTTTAGGGTGGCTTTCCCCGGAACTTTACCTGAGACGTCCCCCGGCGAAGCACGAACAGTACCGGCTGGATCGGATGCTGTTGGCTGCGGCGCAGCGCGGAGTCCGGGTGAACATCATTGTGTACAAGGAGGTGACCCAGGCACTGACCCGTATGTTTCCTGCGTCCTTTGCGTGAACCGGCAGCTGATTTGACTTGCAGTCTCTTCCCATCACACCAAGCACCATCTGGAAGACCTCCACGAAAATATTGCCGTATTCCGTCACCCCGATCATCTTCCCGACCGCCAGGAACTGGAGGCGTCCATCCACACGTCTCTCCAGAACTTGTCTCTCGATGCCGGAAACCTGGCCAAGATGTCTGAAGATGCCATCAAGGGCATCTACGGCATGCATGAGGATGTCATTCTGTACTGGGCTCACCATGAGAAGCTCTGCCTCATTGATGGCCGCATTGCATTTATGGGCGGTCTGGATATGTGCTTTGGCCGCTGGGACACCAACCAGCATGAATTGGCCGACGTGCATGGCCAGGACCTGAACAAGATTGTCTTCCCTGGTCAGGACTACAACAACGCCAGAGTGAGCGACTTCCACGACGTTGCCCACTGGGAGCAGAACCAGCTGGACCGGAAGGACACTTCTCGCATGGGCTGGTCCGACATCTCGGTCAGCTTGCACGGTCCGGTTGTTGAAGATCTGAGGAAGCACTTCGTTCAGCGGTGGAACTTCATCTATGACTCCAAGTACCAGTCGCGCAACAACTCGAGATACGCCAGATTGTCCCTGTACGGCCGGCCCACCTCAGGCCCTCAGCAGCAAGGTCCCCAACAGGGTGGTCAGGCTCAGAAGCCGCCTGCATCCCCTCAGCCTGGTGCCACTGGCCCTCCTGCACCAAGCTGGCAACAGCAGGCTGCGTCTCCCCAGCCTGGGGCGAACCCTGGTCCTCCCGCTCCCAGCTGGCAGCAACAGACAGCTCCGTCGCAGAGTGCCCCTGCACCCAGTACTAGCAGCTCTTCTACCCCAAGCTGGCAGCAGCAGCAGACCGGAGTTGCTACTACTCAGCCTCCCAGCAGTGCTAACCCCGCGACACCAACCTGGCAGCAGCAGCAGACCGGAGTTGCAGCTACTCAGCCTTCCAGCGCTGCTAACCCCGCGACACCAACCTGGCAGCAGCAGGCACCGGCACCCCAGGGTGGCTACCCTGTCAGTCACTCCCCCAACCCGAGCAGCCAAGAGAAGCCCAGCTGGCAACAACAGACTGCGCAACCCAGCAGCTACAACCAACCCCCGGCGCAAAACACCGGTAGCCAGGAGAAACCTAGCTGGCAACAGCAGCCTGCACAGCCTACCGGCTACAACCAGCCCCAGACGCAAAGCACTGGCAGTCAAGAAAAGCCCAGCTGGCAACAGCAGAGTTCGGAGCCTCCCGCGTACTCGGCCCACCCGCAGCAGCACTACACTTACAGTGGTGACTCCTTCCCTCCGCCCCCTCCTGGCCCTCCGCCAGCCCAGGGTTCTGCGCAGACGTCTTACCAGGCGTACAATCCGCAGCAGCAGCAGCAGCAGAGCCATACACCTACCCAAGCTCAGAGTCAAGGCCAGACTCAGTACTACCCACCTCCTCCGAGCCAGGAGATCCATCACTCGCAGACCCGCGGTATCCACGATGCATCGGGCGGTTATGGCGACTCTGAGAGGGGCTTCAACCCCCGCCGTCTGCGTGAGAACTTCATGGACTACGGCAACGTCCTGCGCGGCGAGTTGGCGGGCCAGATCCATCAGTACCAGGATCGTTTCTCCACTCATGGCCGTCAAGCCAGTCAGCCCCGTGGTAACATGACTTGCCAGATCGTGCGCAGCTGCTCGAAGTGGAGTAACGGCACCCCGACCGAGCACTCCATTCAGGATGCGTACGCGGCGGTCATTCGCAACAGTCAGCACTTTATCTACATTGAGAACCAGTTCTTCATCACGGCGACTGGCGATGCCCAGAAGCCGGTGGAGAACAAGATTGGTGTTGCCATTGTGGAGCGTATTCTGCGCGCAGCCCGTGCTGGGGAGAAGTTCAAGATCATTGTCGTGATCCCCTCCGTTCCTTGCTTTGCCGGAGACTTGAGCGATGAGTCCACTCTTGGTACTCGCGCCATTATGGAGTTCCAGTACAACTGCATCAACCGTGGAGGTAGCAGCATTATGGAGATGATTGCCAAGGAGGGATTCAACCCGATGGACTACATCCGGTTCTATAACCTGCGTAACTACGACCGCATCAATGTCAGTGGCCCGCTCGTGCAGGCCGAACAGCAGAGCGGCGTCAATTACGAGGATGCCCGCAAGCAGCAGGATGTGGCGACCGGTGGCCCTGGTAGTTATGGTCCTGGTGCTCCTCGGGCAGCTTTCGACACCACCGCGCCTTATCAGCAGTACCAGCAGGCTGCCCAGCAGGTGGGCGGCAAGTCTGGCCAGTGGGATAGTGTGAGCAGCTGCTACATGCTCAATGGTCCGGACATTCGCAACGTCCCCTGGAATGGACCTCCGGAGGCTGAGATTGATGCGTTTGTCACCGAGGAGCTCTATGTTCACTCCAAGGTATGTTAGCATTCACATGGTATAAGTGCAGGACTAACAAGATGCAGGTGATGGTCGCCGACGACCGTGTTGCCATTGTCGGATCGGCCAACTTGAATGATCGCTCTCAGCTGGGAACTCACGACTCGGAAATTGCCATCATCATTGAGGACTACACCCCTGTGCAGTCCCGCATGAACGGCCAGCCCTGGACTGCCAGCCGGTTCGCCGCCTCCCTTCGTCGCCAGCTGTTCCGCAAGCACTTGGGACTGCTGCCACCCCAGGACCCGGAGCGACCGGATGGCAACTTTGAGCCAGTGGGCGTTCCCAACACCACCGACTTTGAGTCACCCGAGAGCCAGGTCGTGGCTGATCCGCTGGCGGATACGCTGCACAGTATGTGGAACACGCGGGCTCGGACGAACACGGAAGTGTTCCGCAAGGTCTTCCACTCGGTTCCGGATGACACCGTGCGCAACTGGGCCACGTACAAGGAGTTCTACGGATACTACTTCCACAACGCGGACAAGCAGGCGTATGGCGAGGACGAGTCTAGACCTGCTCGCTACAAGTATGGGCACGTGGTCCGCGACGACTTCCCTCCGGGTCCGGAGGGAGTCAGGCAAGTCAAAGAACTGCTCAGTCAGGTCAAGGGTACATTGGTGGAGATGCCTTTGATGTTCCTGATTGAGGAGGATGTGGCGAAGGAGGGGTTGACGCTGAATGAGATTACGGAGCCAATCTACACATGA